CCCTGGAGGGTCCCCGAGGTGCCACGTTGTCTTCGGCTCCTCCCCTGGCAGCTGGGTTTTCAGATCTCCACAGCTTGCCCAGCCGACTGCTGTAGCCGAACCAGCCCCGGCATCCATAGCGTCCTAGAGCAGTGCTTCCCAAACTCTGACAGATGGCGCACCACCAAGTTGAAACGATGCAACCTTAGGTATCACCAGCACGTTTTTGTCACCCAAAGTCATTATAATAAATCTGTTAACGTGCACCACTGACGGGTTGTTTGCCTACCAGTGGTGGTACCTATACCTCAGATTGGGAACCGCTGTCATAGAGGGTTGGGGTTGGGAGGGACCTTGGGAGGCCAGGTAGTCCAAAGCAGGACTGTCCCCAGCTAGCAGCCAAGGCTTTGTCTAGCTGGGTCTTGAAAACCTCCAAGGATGGAGCTTCCACCACCTCTCTGGGCAACCTGGTCCAGTGCTTCACCACCCTCCTAGTGGGGAAGTTCTTCCTAATATCCAACCTAAACTTCCCTTGCTGCAACTTGACACCGTTGCTCCTTGTTCTGCCATCTGCCACCACTGAGAACAGTTTAGCTCCAGCCTCTTTTGAACCCCACTTCAGGTAGTTGAAGGCTGCTGTTAAATCCCTCCTCAGTCTTCTCTTGTCCAGACTAAATAACCCCCGTTCCCTCAGCCTCTCCTCAGAAGTCATGTGCCCCAGCCCCCTGACCATTTTTGTTGCCCTCTGCTGGACTCTCTCCAACTTGTCCACATCCTTTTTGTAGAGGGGGCCCCCAAAACTGGACACAGTACTCCAGATGTGGCCTCCAGTGCAGAAGAGAAGGGAATAATTACTTCCCTCAATCTCCTGGCATTGCTCCTACTAATGCAGCCCAGTATGTCATTAGCCTTCTTGGCAACAAGGGCACTACCATCAACCCTGACACGACACAGACCTAACACTAACCTGCCACAGGTAAAGCGGGGAACCACGGCAGCCAATGTCCTGCTTGTATAACATACTGTCAATAGCATATGCTCAGGATTGCAGGCATTCTTCCTAATCCCAAGCGGAACTGGTGAATCATTGCTTTTTGAGTTTTTAAGTGAAAAACAGTTCTTCTGCAGGCTTCCCTCCCTGTGATTATAAAATATGCCTGAAAGTTTATTTTGATTTGCTTTCGTTAAGAAATCTGGACCGTGCAGTGCACAGAATCAGTGGAAATATCCTTCCTGATTTCTGTGGACATTGCCTAATTTTTCTAAAAGACTTACTGAACAAAATGGATTTTAAAAATAGTTTATATTATTAGTATTGGTTTACATATTTAGTTTACATGATTCAAAAACCACATGTGAATTTCATTTATTACATTTTATAGGGTTTTTATATAGCACTTATCGTCTCTCTTACGAATAGATGTATGCTTGTCTTCATGTATGTACTTTCCTTGGAGGTCTTACATTAAGTGTCTGTGTGTTTGTGAGACTGGAGCTGAAGGGTTTCCAGGCATAACTGAGCACTTGATTGAGGGGGAATGATTTGCCTGCTTGATTTTTGTAATAGTTAAATACCCTCTTGAATTTGCATATTTATACCTTTGTAGGGTCTTTCCTGTTGTCAAAAAATTGGGGTGCGGACAGGAAGTGATGGTCTTGGGTCCAAATGGTATACTTTCTGTGGGTATGGCTATGGTATGACATTGTGGCATAAGAGGAAGACTGCTGCTATTTATAGAAAGCATTTGTTAGAATAGAGCTAAATATCCCTCTTCTTTTCAAGGTTTGGACATCTAACTGTGGCCCACATTTTGTTGGAGAATGGTGCTGATCTCAATGCACAGAATAAGCTGGGAGCCAGCATTCTTACAATGGCTTCTAGAGGCGGTCATGTCAGCATGGTGAAATTGTTACTGGAATCTGGAGCTTTTGTTGATAGTTATGACCATTTTAATACCAGCTTGGTTAACACCAACAAAGAGGAGCTACCGGATATAACACCGCTAATGGCAGCTGCCCAACATGGACATGAGGCAGTGGTGCATCTTCTGTTAGACTGGGGAGCTGATTGTAATTACACTGTGAAGACCATGGGTTGGAGTCCTCTAATGCTGGCAGCTATGAGTGGAAAGGTGAGCTTAGCACAACAGCTCATGGAAAAAGGAGCCAATCCTGACCATCTAAATGTATTGCATAAAACACCTTTTGAAATCTCTGTTGACTTCAAGCATAAAGACATGAAAGATTATCTGGAATCGCTAACAACAGTTAGACCCCAGACAGGTATGGACTACCATCCTTTTGCTTTACTTTCTGAAATATTTGGATTATACATTTTCAAAATATAAGAACCAAAAAAGGTGGCTTTTGATGTGTGATAATCATGTTGGGGCATAGAACTAGATTCCCTCCAATCTAGGTTTTCTTGGAGCAGATTTACTGAACAAATGTGTCCTCTGCCCACGTTGCATTTCCCACAGAAAACACAGATATATGTGTCTCTAGTGGGTTATGGAATAGAGAAAATCCCACACAATTTACTGATTCGTTTTGATGCACTGGCTGGGGGAGTTGTTAGCTGATTGCACGATTTCACAATGATTACACACTTAATTCATACAACATAATTTTATTTTATAACTCTTTGGTATGCATATAACACTGCTTAGCTTTAAGAAACACCACAAACATTAAAAACACAATAATTACATATATCAGAAACAATGCTCCAAATGCACTTCCTTCCCAAACAATGCTATAAGAATTAGTATTACAAAAACAACTACAATTACAACTAAAAGTTAAATTTGAATCAATACTATTATTTTTCATAATATACTTACAATCCTAGAATTCCGAGAAGCCAAATACCAAAATATGGTTTCATTCCTCAGTAGTACGATTTAATGGGTTGGCCTCAGTAGTACGGTTCAATGGGCTCGCCTCAGCAATACGATTCAATGGTCTGGCCTCAGCAATACGATTCAATGGGCTGGCCTCAGCAGTGATAGGACTAAGTCCCCTTCCTTCAGTCCCTTTCGGGCGCTCTGCAGCTTCAGCGTGAACTAAGAAAGTTGTGTTCACGGAGACTACTCAACCTATCATTATCCCCAAATTTGGGCTCGGATCTTACTCAACAGATTCTTTTGCCTTTGTTGAGCATTTTAAATTACTTTTGGGGAGACTTCCATATCACTGCAAATGCCCTTTTCTTACCTATTTGGTTAAAAGGCCCTAGGCTTTGATCTCTCGGAATTCAGGATATTTGCTCTCTTTGTAAAAGACTTCTAAAGATAAAATTTAAATTAAGCGAAGTCAGGACATTTTGCACGTAGTCCCAAAACAATGAACTAGATAAGGAGATAAATCCTATCTTCTTCCTGAAACTGGCTAATGGGCAACCTTTACAAACATTCAAACTATTTCATTCAATATGACACATTTCCCACAGAAAACACAGATGTATGTGACTTTGATTTGTGGCAATAGAAGTGTTAAAATGACTTAAAAAATTAAAGTGCCTAAAGTACGGTCTTTGGTGTATTCTTTCAGGAGGAAAATAAAATAACATACTCAAACAGGTACCAGGATAAGGATGTTGAAAATTTGGAGTGGTTTAAAAAAAGAGCTAAAAGTGATTTGAGGTTGGGAAACTGCCTTACAGAGCGAGACTAAAGGAGTTCAGCCTACATAACTCAGTAAAGAGAAGGAGAAGAGCTGAGCGTCCATACCTGGAGGACTCTGGGTCCTGGCAACTGTGGGGCACTGCCTGGCCCCAGAGTCCTACAGCTGCCGAGCACTGCCAGGGCTGAGTCCCCTCTGCTGTGGGACTCCCAGCCTTGACTGTGCATGGTGTACCCCTGGGGCTGAGCGCCTGATCAGCTGACGGAGTTCCCAGTTGCAGAGGAAAATTAAAGCTGTATAGCAACCAGCTATAAAGCTAGTACACATTTTTGAGGTCTAACTTTATAGCTGGTTGGAGCTTTTTATGGCCTGGTAAGTACTTTGCACATGCAGCTGGTCTCAGTTAATTGTGCAATAACTGTAATGTATAGAAGGGGCTTCATGCTGATCTGATACAGACAAAGGCATGATATAAAGTTGTAGTTAGGAAATTTATAATGGAGCAAGGCATGGAATGGATTTTTTTCTTTATTTAACTATAAATATAACTTAATGACTGGACCAGCTTACCAAAGAGTAATTTCTTCACTAGAAATTTTGAATTCAGTATTGAATATCTGTATGTTCATCTACATGTAGTTTGTTTGTAGTTGTTTGTTCAGTTCAGGGACTTATAAAATTGCATGGTCTGCGATATGCAGAAGATTATACTCAATGGTCCTAATAGTCTCCTGGCCTTAAAATCTACATGTATGTGAAGACTTAAAAGGTATCTGGCATTGGATACTTATACTAAGAGTTCTGCAAGCTAATGAGGCCTGTCCACCTTTGGAGCCGCCAGGGCTTCATACCTTGGAGGTCTCGCCATGGGGCTGCATGCCATGGGACTGTGGAAGCTTCTCAGGACTCCTGTCACATGAGCAATGTTTTATCCCCACTACCACTGGTGCCTGAGCCCTCTGCTACCACCACTGCATGGGTAGTTTCTCCTTGCCATTGCTGCCATGTGTACCTCTTGCTGGCTCTGTCATATGGGCAGCAAGCTCACTGGGTCTCCCACTATGCTATGCTGTGTCAGAGACACCAGCTGCCACTGTCACAGCAGTTGAAGCAATGGAGGCAGCAGCAGCTTAGTGGGAGCCCCAGAGGGCATGTATGTTATCTCCTTGCTAGCCAGATCTGGCCTGCGGACTAGCACTTGGACAACCCTGAGGTAATATGAGGAGGGAAGGTGGGGAATGGGGGGAGACGAACAGGACAGCTCATCATCCTTTCTAGTTTTCTCCTTTTTCTTAAATATTCCATGTTGGGAGAAAGGAGAGTGTACAGCAACTAACTTCAGAACTTTATAACTCTAGGGTTTAAATGTCAATTGCTGTATGAACTTACCCCCTGCCCCTCACATGTACACCTGTGCACACCGTTAATGAACAAAATATGAATTATGTTGCAAACCCAGGTAGATAAAACTTAGAAAATACCAGTTTTATGGTTATCTTAATTTTTTTTTAGATACTTTGAGCACTTATCCTGTGCTCTGAAAGAGGAAAGAGTCTTTTGTAAAAGATAGTATGGAATTGTGAAAAAAAGACTCTCATAACTCACTACACAGTGGGGGGAAGAATTAAGTTTGCACATAAACCTGATATGACTTTTGAGTCTTGGCAATCTAAACTGTGTGCGCTAAAACTGTGTTTTAAAATTTTTGCATGCAATTGCCTTTGTTTTTTATTTACAGTAGGGTTGGAAATATATCACAGTGCAACTCGAAGGCTGGCTGTGGAATGTACAGTAATTTGTTGTCTGGTTTATTTTTTTTTTAGTTTTCATTTAATACTTGTATTACTTTCCAATTATTTTCATAGCCTAAATTAGTCACAATAGAAATCCTCTAACTAAAGACTACGAAGTCCTCTAATGGTGCAGTAGTTAGTCTATAAAGTGACACTTTGCCTTGTCTGTTGTATGATACTTAAGGTTTGCACTCTCTAAAATGTTTTGCTCTCCAGCATATATGGACATTTCTCTGTTTCTGAGATGCATAATCCCACATCAACCATGAAGGAGTTAACTGATGCTTTATGTGGAATTAGTAAACATCTGGGATGTCCTATTAACTTTTCCTCCTCTCTCCTCCCCCATACACTTGGAAAAGGCATGATAAATAGGGAGGAATTTGGAACAAGTTGTACAAAGCAGGCAATGAGGAAGTCCTGGGGACGAAAGATGGTTTTGTGGAGTTAGGGACAAGGGGACCTGAAAACCTCTAGAGGAGGATTAGCCCCCTTGTCAGATGTTGTTTGCCAGTTGTTGATGCTGTTTTCAAGTTGCTAAAGACACTGTTAACCCCAGACAAGGTAGGACTCTAGGGCTAAGTATAGACAGTCAAAAAGGCCCAGGCGGAATCAGTTCAGTCTTTGCATGTTAGTCTAAAATGCACAGATTAAACTGAAACAGAAGTGAACAGGCATTTACCTTTGATTCAGGGAATGCAGTACATGCCTGCAGTGGCTCAGGCCAGAAGCCAGGGGGCACTAGAGCATGGCTCCCTGGCCATGTGTTCATTTCCTCTTCCTGCTGCTCATGAAGTCTCTGGGATTTGCAGTCCAGAATTACAGCAGCAGGACTCTGCAGGGTTGCTCATCACTTCCTGTTCCTGCTTCCTGGTGCCTCTGGGAGTTGTAGTCCACAGTTGCAGCCAGCAGTAAGTTTGAGTGGGAGAAGGGGCATTTAACCCTCCTCCCTGGCCCCAGACCCCAGTTGGGCTTGCCCCCTCCCCCCACCTTCTTGTCAGTCAGCCCTCACTGCTTCAGCTAGGGAGCAGAGGGGCAGGGCCCTGCTTTCTGGAACAGACAGCACAGGCCATCCTAGGGTTGGAAAGCATGCTGGGGGACTGTGATTTAACTTGAACCAGGAAGGAGTCTGGGACATAAGTTTCATAAACCGGTTTGACCCAAATTAGTTAAGTCTGATACTACTTTCAGCCAGGGGTATCTTAAACTAGTTTCAGCCATTTTGAAACTGATTTATGTGCACTGAGCTCTATTACAGGTTTAAACCAATTTCTGATCACTTAATCTGGTTTATGTGTAACTTCTGTCCCTAGCGTAGAGGACCTAGCTACATGGCTAATCCTTCATACATGTGATGGGTCAGCAAGACCATGAGGATATACTCTGGGGCTAGAAGACAGCACTGCCAAAGGGGGTGCACTGTTATCTGCAGATCTTGTGAGAGGTGCCCAGTGAGATTTTTCTGAAGCCACCTCCACAAGGGGCTTGCCTGCATTATTGGATACCTAAATTCCTTTAAACATTTGTCTCTGGATGAATAGAAATTCATTACTCCAGTATTTTGTCTTTAGTTTGCCTAAGGACCTGTTAAACTGATTGTTAGTGTTCTGGTTCCTGGAAAGATGCAGCCAGCCTCTTGCATATTGCCAAAAACAAGACCTGTGATTTGGGACAGTGCCATGGATCTCTTCTCTTGTATTGTGGTTACTCAGAATAATGTTAAGTTGTAATCCTGTGCTTTCATATGTTATGTCTGCAGTGCAGCACAGAGACTCCTGAGCTAGCTCAGGTACCACAAGCAGCCTAGTCCTTGGAGCACAGCACAATCTGAGCTAATTTGGTTCTTGGCAGTATAAATTAGCCCACCCTGAGTTTTGCGCTTCTGTAGCTAAACTACTTGCTGAGCTAGTTTGCTTAAAGCTAATTTAGGATTCTCTGTTATATTGGCTTTTAGACATGCCCACAACCCCTGTATTGCTAGATCATCTTTCATTTAGGACTTGCTGCATTTGGTACCATTTCAATTTTTCAAACTTCCTTTGCAGTCTAGGTCATAAGGGTAGAAATTTAACATTATTCTCTGCTTTGGAGAGCAGGCTTTAACTTAATCTTTGTTCTATGTGCTCTGACACAAAGGGGTATTTTTTGCATAGTGGCAGAGAGGAAAAGTCAAATAATTTCTGTGCCTCCTAAGATGTGGATCTGCTAATACATATAAGTTGGCTGAAGCATTGTTGGAGATAGGAGAAATCATACCTCAGATGACAGTGTGGTTCTAGTACTCTTCCTTGGGCTATTTAATTCAAAAGCACCCAAAACCTTTGTAAACCTGCCCCTCCATGTCTTGTCTCTGCTCTTGTCTCCAAGTCCCTTGCCATTCTACCGATTCTCAGTCAGGGTACGGCGGTACCCTGCAGTGCCTTGAGATCCTCTCAGGGGTGCTTCAAGGTGCCAACAATATTAGTGCTGTTAGGTGTCAAACATGTTTCACAAGATAAACCTAGAGGCTGGATCTAGACGTGCAGGTACACATGGTTTGTGGCACTGCAAACCTCTTTGCAGCGCCACCAACTGCACAAGTTGCACGTTAATTAGTGAGTGGTGCTGCTGATTTGCAGTGCCAAGGCAAAATTTGCTACCAGGATTTCCCAGTAGCAAGAAAAAAATCCCCCCAAAAGTGCAGCTCAACCCATGCCAAAGTGGTGAGTGTGGGACAAATGCAGAGATGAGGGAGCAGGCAGTGCCCCAGGTCCCTCTCCTCCCCCCCCCGCTTGTTTGGACCTGGCCAGAGATTTCAAATAGGAATCTATACTGTTAAGAGCATTTTGACCTGTTGTGGTCTTTCTGAGTTCTTTGCAACAGAAAAGTTGTTCTGTTATTTTTCTGTACTCAAAAAATGAGTGAAAACTAAGAGCTGGCATTTTCCAAGGAGTGCTTCCAGTCTAGTGAAGGGTCCCTTGAATCGAATCAGGTTGAGACCCATTTTTCCAGCTCAACTTTCAATTTTCCCCATTTGGCTCCTGCTCTTGTAGCTGTCCCTCCATGAGGCCACTGACTTGACAGATAGAGGTAACTTCCCTTCCCAGTCCTTTTCTGGTCTTCAGTCTCTTGTATTTGGACCCTCACTCAAAAGGAAGCCTAATTACAATTTTCTATAGGGCATATGGCTAGAAGCCAACATAACCTACTGTTGCAGCTCCCAGTTTTCAAGGGTTTCTTTAATTTTTTTCCTTTGGTTTCTCAGCATGTGTCGCTATGCTTTATTTTGGATAAAGGTTAACTATGGACAGAAACAAATCTGTATAAACATGGCAGCTTCCGACATCAGTAGCTTTCATTTCAAACACGTCATTTCAGCTGCCTTTTCCTTCATAGGTTATGTAGCATCAGTGATGCTTTGGAAGAGGGAACAAGATTTATTTTTTCTGGCTTGGGTGCACGGTGTAGAGTAGAGCATTATATCTTTTCCTTATTTATGTATAGAAATTGTTGCCAATATATTGCCAATATATTTCAAAAGCAGATAATAAGATGAGCTCTTTGCCCCAAAGAAATATTGAAATAGTTTCTGTTGCAGATTCTTTTATTATTTATGAGAATGAGGATCTCAGTGCTGAAAAAACCCCCAGTGTAATGATCAAATTGCCAACTATATTATTAGAAAAATCTTTTTTTTAATGTGGACTGACCAAAGTGCTTTGGAAATCCATGAGACTTAAAAAGAAGCCAACCAGCTGCTTGCTGCAGCTTTTATTTCAAAGGATGATGCTTCTTGCGTTAGCTGGAGCTCCCTCACCTGTCCTGTGCAGCTGATAGAAGTGGCATCCTTTGAAATACAAGCCACAACAGATACCGGAGCATCTCTGTGGTCCAGTGTACTTCAGAGGTCCTGGCTTGCTGTGGCTATATATACCCTGGCTAGTTCACAAACCTTATCTTTCAGGGGTGAGTGGGTGGGGTGGTGGTGTAGGAATAAGGAACCAAACCCTGCCATGCGTCCAGAGTATACTGTACTGATGATCTTATGATGACCTGACCCCAGCCCTGTATTGAGAAGCATTTAGGTTCCCCTAAGGTATATATAAGGATTTCTGTGCTTTCTCCATTACCCATAAAATAGAAGTCCAAACTTTCATTTTAGAATAGATCATTTTTGTAGAATATATTTTATAGTTTTTGCTACAGAAATTGCATTACACATTTTTACTTTCATGACTGAAATTTTAATGTAAATGTTTATATTTTCTCAGATAAAGAAAAGAAACAACCTGATGTTTTTCATGCTTTGAAAATGGGTAAGTTTAAATAAAAAAAGCAATTTTCTACCACATCTGTTTCTTGGAACTGTAGGGCATGCTTGTTTGATATCCTGGGATATTGAGTAAGTGGTCTGCTTTCTAGTCCATTCATTAGGTGCCTAAGTGTGATCCTATTACAGGGGTGGACAAAATATAGCCTGTGGCAGGTGCAGGGGGTAGCCTGGGCCATGGCATGTGTGGCCAGTCCCCCCAACCTCCAGGCAGCATGGCCAGGTACAGGTGGTGTGGCGGCCAGACTCGGCTTCCCAGCAGCCCCCACAGCACCGGCTCACTCTGCCGGGCTGCTGTTGCCACTGTCTCCACTGCTGGACCTGGCTCTACTGCCCGGGCACCCTGGCCTACCCACCCTGCACCCACTACCAGATGGAGTGGGCAGGCAGAGTCTCCATGGAGACCAGCCCAGGACCCCCATAGGCAAGGTGTGCTCGGCCAGGCAGATGGTATGGGGCCGTGAGCGGGTGGGGAGTGGTGTCCAGGAGCAGGATGGATGGCCAGGGCTGGGGTTGGGATCACGGCATGGTAACAGCCTGGGCTGGGGCAGAGCTGCAATCTGCTCCCTCCACGTCTCTGCAGTGGGTGCCAATTCCATAGGCAAAAGTGTGCAGGGAGTGGATTGCAGCTCTGCTCTGAGCCATGGCCCTGTGCTGTCACTGCTCCATGATCCTGGCCCCACCCGCCCATTCTGCTCTCAGACACCGCCTCCCTGCCTGCCCACCCATCCACCTGGTTGAGCGACCCCTGCCTGTGGGGGTCCCAGGTAGGTCTCCAGTGGAGACCCACTTGTGTGCCTGCCTGCTCTGTCCAGCACCCCCAGCAGTGGGTGTGGGGTGGATGGAGCCAGGGCCAGATAAGATCAGTTGTCCCCCTCCCATCCACAACAGCTCACAAAATCCTTAAGTGGCCCTTCTGAAAAATAGTAAATGCAGAAGGTGCATGGGTTTTTTCCTTGCTGCATTTTGTGAGTCTTAAGGCTAAGATGGCTTATTACAAAAGTAGGTGTGTTAATGTTTTTTTTTTTCCTGAGATTTGAGCAGCATGGAATAGGATCACACTTAAATGCCTAATAAGTAGAATAAGATCCATCTCAATATATATTGCATTCATATGCTACTTTGATCTTTTTGTACTGTTTTTAGCTTGGAAATAGAAACTTTTTTGTATTTAGATAGTTTGCATGTAGTTTTCCTCCCATTCTGGTATAAGAGAATCTTTGTGCCATAAACCTTTTTAAAACCTTCCTTCCAAAGTGTCCTCTTTTAGAAAAGCCAGTTATTTCAAATACTACCTTTATATATTTATTTCTAGTAAGCACTAAGCATCAAAGCAAAAATGGTAATTGGTGTCAAAATGCAGTGGCTACCTGTCCAGGTGAGCATTGCAATCAGTGTTCAAAGTAATTTTAGGATCAGAGATCTGCTTGTCCCTGCTCTTATGAAGAATCCTTATTTTAACTGAGTATCTATGGAGGCTGCCAATAAATCTTGTTGCATCAACATTTGAGTAGCTGTCCGGCTGGCTGGCAAGCTTCATTCCTGAGCTTCTACTGCCACACTGACATAGGTCCCCTCTTGAAACCTGTTTTACCAGTCTTGCTCATCCTGCTACACTGGGGAAGTCCTGTGGTCCCAGTTCTGTCTGTTCTGGGCCTGCAGGTATCTTTGGCTCCTACTTCGGTGCTACTGATTTCCCTGGTCAGGAAGCCTCGATTTTCATCATTGTTTTCTACGAAAAGTTCTTGTTTTTTGATATCCTCTATTCATTTAAGTTCTTGAAAAAGCACTTTTAGAAAAAGGTAAGAGCTTGACCGTGTGTATACAAACTTACAGAGAGACAGTAGAGCTGATGGGTAGATAATCGGTTCTGTTATCTCTCATCTCAATATACTGCTGTTAACAAGGATGGTATCTCCGGAGACAGAAATCCACAATTTAAGAACTGAAACTAAGTGTCATAGAGATGCTTAATGGGATCTTCTAGACTGAGCAATGAGTCCCATTTGGTGGAGTGGTTTTCTTTAGTCTTTACTAATCTATAGAGGATCCTCTGAGGACCCCATAAGATTGGGCCCCTAATATAGTCCATGGCCTATTGTGACCTATTTAGAAAACTTTTCTAAAAAGGTTAAATGAATATATGGTCTCAAATAGTATATAATTAGAAGTTATAATCCATATTCCATGATGATAGTTTAGAGCTTTAACACATCTTAATTTAAAACTATCTTTATATATGTTTATTTTTTTAAATAATCCTATTTTTTTTAAATCATTGATTTTTTTTTTTTTTTTTTTTTTTTCCACCTGTCTACCAGTAAACATGTCAGGAGCCGTTCTTTCAGAGTCCCCTGTGAGAGCATCTCTATTATCCTTTAGGTTACTTTAGTGTTTCCCCCATTATGGTTCTCAATACATTGAAAGTAGAGAATTTTGCCACACCTATTTTGTTCTCTTTCTTAGAGCATTCTCAGATTGAAAAAGCAGTGTGTCCTCCTTCACAGCCTCGCATTGTTTTCTCTAGGCTGACAGGGATCATTGAGTAGTAGAGGACGATGATAGGCATGCTGGTCTCCTTATTCATATTGACAATATTGAATTATCAGCTGACTCAGATGACAACACTGATGTATCTTCTGTATCTCTGCCAAATGCCAGCAGTTACATGGTTGGTTATCAAGATGGCTCAGACCCTGTATTTCTGAACTTGATCCGTATAGGAAAAGACTTATGTATTACGTCATATTCTGTTCTTTTTGATCCAAGATTGAGACCCTGTCAGTGAACAGAGGTCTTGCTGAGCCTGCCAAAGCCAGTTAAAGGTTCCTGCTTTTACTCTGCTCATCTGTTAAGAAAATTGTTGGGTTATACCAGTAGCACAATCTTGAGTGTGGTGTCTTCTATCCATCCTCCAACACTCTGACTTTTTGTCCTCCTGTCTTGTTGTTGGAGGAGCCAATGCGCAGATAAAGTCTAGTCCTCAACAGAATTCCATATACTCCCCATTAGTTCTGCTCTGTATCACCGTTGGCTCTTGACTTTGTCCCTTGGAGAGCTGAAAACTTCTATAGATCTCTAGGGCTGTGGTGTATCACTCCCCAGTGCAGACAGTCAGCCTCAGGATCGACTCGTACCATTCATGGAAACAATTTGTATCAGGAAGTAAGACATAGAGGAGGCATCTGTCTGACTGGGAAGATGAGCAGATGTCTTATCAAAAAAAATTACTGAACACAGTAGGTTGACCACCCAAAGAAAACCAGGATGAATATGTTACAGGATTTCTGCCTCACCTTGATCAATTAAAGATCATCAGTTAAATGTTTTATCATTCATGTAGTGAATTGTCTGACTTGGTCTCCATCAGAATGTAGGTGGGCTTTTTCCACATGCTGTCTAGGTCAAACTGAAGTCACCCAGATGAGCTTGGGTTTGTCTGTTTTCCCAGAAACTTGTGGAATTAGGGGTTAGGAAAAAATGAGAACAGTACTTTGCTCCAGTCCAGTAGAAGGCTTCCAGTTGTGAGACAGAGAAAACATTGGGAAGTTGGTGCTGCAGTCTGTCTTTCAGAAAACAAATTGGGAGGTGATGTAGCCACACTTTTCACTTCCAGTTTCAAGTGCATAGGCAGGCAAAGTTCTTTGAGTAGATGGTGATATCTTTTATTAACTGGAAAAAAGTTCTTAGCAAACTTTTGAGCACAGTCACCCTTCTTCAGGCACAGGGAGTGTCTGCTGGTCTGAGCTATCAAATCTAGTCAAAGGGCCTCACCTGCCTATGTCCTTAGACTAACATGGCTACAACTAAAAACCCAGTTTCAAGTGCAGGGGATTGTTTTTATACAATCATTTTTTAGTTAATTAACTGAACCTATAAGACTAGAGAGACATCCACATGGGGTATCCTGCAAATCTGCAGACTTTGACACCAGCGGTTTTGGGATAGTAGTTTTTATGGCTACTTCTAAATTCAGCTCACCATCTTAGGCCGCATCCAGATGAGTGTGTCCGTGTGGTATGTGGTGCCACACACTGCACATTTAGGTATTCCCCATGGTGCTACCTTGCAGCACAGGGGTTTTTTTTTAACCTCAGTAGATCTAGGGTCAAAAAAACCTATGTGGCGGTAGTGCATACTGCCCAAAACCGGAGCCTGGCTGGCCAGAACCACGCTCCAGCTGCTGGCCAGGCTTCTAGCTGCAGTAGCACCATGGCTGTAGCTTCCTCAGCCCCCAGGACCCCAAGTAAGGCTCCTGGGGACAGCACAGTTGCTGGGCCCAGACTCCCCTACCCCACCCAGGGTAACTTGCCATGCACCAGAGTGCACATAGCACAGACGTTCCCCAGGGACAAGTAGCAGCTACTTGCCCTTGGGGAACCAAATGTCCGCACTTGTCTGGACACAGCCTCAGGGTCTGTACTGCTTGCCAGTCTTACCCAGAAATGGGTAGAGGGCATTTGAAGAAGAAAGAGCTAATGCCTATAACTAGAATTCTTCACTTCATGAGTATCAAATTCAGTCATGAAAGTGAAACAGGGATTTTTAGTCCTGCTTTAATTGCTTATCTCAATGCACATAAATTTTATGCTCACTGCCCACATCTTCATAATTAATATGCTGCAATTTGTTATCATTACTGCTCTGTGCACTTGCTCCAGGGAGTTATAATTGCAATTATGTAACAGCACCAATGTGTGTAAGGAAGTAAAAGATGGAGGGAGCAGTTTATGAATGGATACACTCCACAAGCCAGGATAGATATGCTGATCGGTGGAAGGAACACATAATTACAAATTCTTAGGTGTAATTAAATGTGGAGCGCATTTCTCTAAGTGCTGATGCAGCTATAAATTACAGGATATTGCCCTGTCAGTTAATTTTCCTGATAAAATACAGTGTTTTTAAAAAGGTGCTACATACACTGCTTCTTTATTTCATTTTTTTTAATGACTGTTTTGTGTTTTGCATCATTAGCAGATAAACATGCATATTAATTCAGGAGTTGGGCAAATATCTATTTTTGATGTATAACATTATGTTTTGTGGCAACCTTGACAGGAAATTTTCAGTTGGTAAGAGAGATTGCTGATGAAGACCCAAACCAAGTCAATATTACTAATAGCGATGGTGCATCTCCGCTGATGATTGCTGCTGTAACTGGACAGTTGGCCCTTGTACAGCTTCTTGTTGAGAGAAATGCTGATATTGACAGGCAGGATAATGTTCATGGCTGGACAGCACTTATGCAAGCCACATACCATGGGTGAGTGATTTAATTTTCTTTGTCTCCAGAAAGGTTTTATTCCTCTTCTTAGTTATGGATACAAAACTAATCCTTTAGATCAAGGATCGGCAACCCCCGGCACATGTGCCAAGCATGGCATGTGAGGCCATTTTGCTCGGCACACCACAGCCAGTCCCGGCTCCGGGTAGACGCTGCCTGGGACGCTTCCAACATCCCAGCTGCCTGCTGGGAGCAGCTACCCAGAGCCGGGGCCAACTGCAGCCAGGAGGCTGCAAACAGCTGTGCCGGGCTCTGGAGCCCAGGCATCAACTCTGTAGTAGGAGCTACTGGAGGAAGCAAATTAATTTATTTTTACAAGGCGGAGGGGGAGAAGAGACCCAAATTGTTTTGTTCAGGGGTATCAAACTCACCCTGGGTTCTGGGCCAGATCCAGATGTCCCACAGGGACTCCTGGGCTAGATGTTCAGGACTAGCAGCAACTACAGTGGATCTGCATTTGGGTAGCAGCACGGAGGGGCAACATGAAGCCACACTTGGGAGGTGTTGTAAGTTTGGAGGCTTGCTGCCAATGGCCATGTCCATTGAGGTTCAGGGACCCTGAATTCTGTGGCAGGTACCATCACCCCAATTTTGGGTAGCCTATTGGACTAACAACAGGTTAGATGGGACAGTTCCATGGGCCATATGGTTGAGACCACTGGTTTAGTTGGTGGTTTTTAAACAAGAGATCAGAAGTGATTATAAATGTTGCAGAGTTAGGAATATGGTTGAAAGTTGAAGTGGTAGGGTCCAATGGCTTCCTCAGTCATGACACTTAATGTGGGAATCAACCACCACTAAATTAAATAAATACATATATGGGATCATTATTTATTTTATGCTGTTAACCTGTGACAGAGGTTATATTTATAGGCAGATGGCCCTCTGTTAAGAGGTGGCTGGTGATAGGGTGTTTTTTGTAAGATTTCTGCAGCTTTCCTTTTGGCCGAAATGACTCAAAATGTTGCCCTTTGGGCACATTCTTTGCTCACTGGGATGTATGGGAAGCCAGGAAGTTGATGAGAGTGGCTTTTGGTGATAGGTTGTGTCTGTGGTAAGCTCATTGTCCTGGAAGGCCTTTTTGGTAGTTGCAGTATTAGTTGTGAATGAGTTTGTGTTTATATACTTTAAAGCACCTAGAGTAACTGGCAGATACCTTTTTATATATTTTAGTAGAAATCTCAAGTTATTGGCTTGAGCATATAAATGATCTTTAATCAGCTTGGTTTACTGCGTACACTTTTTTATTTGCTTTGGCACCCAAGCTGCTTATAAGTAAAATAACATTTGATAGGTGTGTGAGCACTGCAGCTTGATTTAGGTTACTGACACTCAAAAGAAATTCTGGAAGCTTTACTACAGTATCTGAATAAATTGTAAATTTTGCCATCTGTGTCTTAAGTAATTAACTATTGTAACTCAGAAGAAGAGGTGTGGCATAAGGGGATAGGTATGGACTGCAAGCTGTTTTGTTTTTTCTTTTCTCTTTTTGTTGTGGTTATTCTAACATATGTGCCTCTGGACATTTCTTTCCTTAAAGAAATAAAGAAGTTGTTAAGTATTTGTTGAATCAAGGAGCTGATGTGAATTTGCGTGCAAAGAACGGATACACAGCCTTTGATCTGATAATGCTGCTGAACGACCCAGGTATGTTGTTTCATAGTGAACAAAGAAAACGCTTGCATTCTTAATCTATACATGAAGAAATAAATCTGTTCCAATCTAGAAAATACTTTTGAATTGATAGAAAATATCTTCCATAAGTCCATGACCAACTGAAATTATGTTTTGGAAAGGGTATGTTTCTTGGCTTAATTGGTCACACAGAAGTGTGTGGTTATCTTTGGGTGAACAGGTGATTTCTACTTTTGTTCCATTTATTCTTGTTGCTTGATTTTTTTTTTTCCAAACATGATATCAAATTATGATTTTTGTGATACAAATGTCATTTCAGTGGAATTGATTTGGGATGGTCTGAAGGCATTCATACAGCCTCATAAAAACATAAAATTAAAAGATATATGTATTTATGAGAACAAAAGCTTTCACTTATTATTGGCCACCAAAACGTGTGTAAAGAGACAATTTTTTGGGGATGATGTCTTTTATTGCAAAGATCAGCAATCTACAGCCTGTGGAGCCGTTGGATTCAGCCCAGGGACATGGGGCTTTGGTGGTGTTCAGCAATGGGCACTCTCCCTGTGCCACTGCGAGCATAAGTGCCAACTGTGGGTGGGTCCTAGTGGCTCCCTGACTCAAGGTTGGTCATTCAGCCTGCAGCCAGAAAAGGATGCTGTTTTATTCAAGCAATTGTATAGCTGTGAGAGATTAAACAAGGTTTTGTGTATAAAGTATGCTTCCTCAGGTTTGAGAGAAGAGGAGGGTACAATCTCAGCTAAATATTAGGTGCATCAAAGGCTTGTGTTTAACTCCGTATGTTAAATGCAAGAAGCCATTGTTTTATTTAGTATTTAACCTAGGCAGTACCCATCTCTCTCCTAGACCTGAGGAAAGGCACTTTATTCCTGAGAGCTTGTCTGTTTTCTCTCCAACTATACCATTGGTTCGTTAAAAGATATTGCCAAAAACCTTTTGTTCTCACACGTTGTTTGAATGATTATGGCTACACCAAATTTCTAGCCCTGTTACAATACAATAGAGAGACAGAAACGAGATCCATCATGTGGAAAGTATTGAACTCCTGGGTAAAGCTCCTATGTAGCTCTAAAGTTCAAGTACAAGTTATGCTTTTGGTGCCCCAGTTATTTTACCTGAGATATAGTATAGAAAAAGAACGCAATACATCAGTGGAACTTGGGTGTGTCTGTATGTGTCCTAGCAGCTAAAGTATGCTTCTACTGGTGGAACTCCTGTTTCCTAATATAATTTCATTCACCACATCCCTGGCAGGGGGAGAGGTTAAGGGCCTCTTCAGGCTTTTTTAAATCTCCCTACCCTTTTTCCTTTTCTGACTAATGCATGTTTCTTTTTTTAGTATTACTAGTAAACTGTTGAATGCTGTATGGCAGATAGTAGAGGTGTATTTCACCAATCTTTATCATGTATATTTAAATGCTGCAGTGCCCAGACAAAAATGTAGATGAGCAAACTAAAAAGCTTGCGACAAGTGGGGGTTCCCTGGTGATCTTCAGGAAGGTAGATTCCCAGATTGTTTCTCAATGGTCTCTCTTGACCCCTTTTCTCATACTTGGCATCACAACTGAAACTCTTTTTACATAGACACAACCAAAATACTTTTTTCCCCTCTGTCCTGGAGGGCAACAGTTGCAACTTCACCAGTGTAGTTGTGGTGTAAATAAGTTGCTGGTGGCTATCTGTATTTTTACCCCTGGGAGATCCACCCCCAGTTTGTATGGAGCTCTCTAACCAATGGAGCTGCATTAAAGGTAATTTAGGGAAATACAAGAGAAAAATGGAGGGAATGTGGTTTTTCCTTTGTAGCTTTCAGGGGTGGCTAAGTTCTCCTGGTTTCTTTGCAGTCAGGCTAGTAAATAGTCCAGTTCTTATTTACTTTTTGAAAGTCTTTTCTGGATTCTGCTTGAAATTGACAGTTTTACAGATTTTTTTTTTTGTTTTAACATTTCATCTCATGTTCATCCTGTTTTTCTTTCTCTTCCTTTTTTAATTCTGTTTTTATACCTCTGTTCTTTTCACTATGTCTTTTTCAGTCCCTTCATTGTCCAAACTGAGCCTCTCTCTTCTCTCTGGGATTTGTTTTCAGATTTCTTCCCTGCAGCCTGTACTTGAGGAAAGACTATTCATTCTCTCTGTTCTCTTCTTCTGTGACAGGTGAGAAAAGGGAGCTTCCTAATGTTTTTCTTAAATCCTCCAGAAGGGAAAAACAGTTTTCAACCTCATTTTAATGCACCTTAGAGTCTAAGTAGAGCTTTCTTCTGTCTGGTTAGAACTCTGAATCCGGGTCTTGTGGACAGATTTCTCCAGACCTGGTGGGGTGAATACTGTAGGATAAGTCAGTTTATCATGTAGGATTGAGATCGAAATGATTATGGTCAGTCTACCTTTCTATCTGAAAACTACAAAATGAGCATTTTATTTATACAAACTAGAAAAAGAAGGCAAAGCATGGAGTCCTTGGCACTGGGACTTTAGACCTGTATATCTCTTCTTTCATTTCCATAGGAAACCTAGGAGAACCCTTAGGAGATCAGTTATGAATACTGTATTTCAGATGAAGAGACTTTTGCAAATTAAAAAAATATATATTTTATTTTATTTTTTCCAGACACAGAACTTGTACGATTACTAGCATCAGCCTGCATGCAAGTAGACAAAGACAAGGGTAAACTGACTAATAGATCGTCCTTGCCCTGTTCCAGAAATAGGCAAACTTTAAATACTCCAGTGTTGCCAGATGACAAGGGAGGACTAAAGGTATATGAATTTCATATATTCTCTATCTCTCTGAGGAGTTAATAAATAACAATTGTACAGTTTCCTGTAATGTATGAAGTGGGCAAAGACAGCACACATAGAGGTATTTGGGGTGTAATGGAATGTAATCTATATGTTCTGGAAGACTGGCTTACATTAGCCATCTTTTAATTTTTTTTAAATTAAAATAGTCACGTAAAACCTTTTTTCTGTATTGTGGCAAAGTGGGGCTCCCCACCTAGCCACAGTGCCCCCACTTGCCTTTGGGCTTGCCCCCCACCTGACTCGCCTGCCATGCCTTGTTCTTAATGAATTAGGATGTTAAATAAGGCGGGAGGCTACCCATTTGTGCCCAGATGCCAGGTGGCGCTATCTGCGGCTCCCTACCTCCCGTACACCGCAGCCCATGCCTCGCAGATGGAATACAGATGACAATATTCTCCCAGCCTACAGCCGGAACAAGCTTAGGCCTTGCTGTCAGGCCTCAGACACACACACACTCATCCTACCCTCCTCTCACTAGGGCCTTACACACTGTACCCTCTCTTACAGGGTCTCTTTCTCATGTCGACAACTTATACTGCCTTGCTTTCTCTTGGAGTGGGCCCCTTAGGCCATAGGCTTTACCTAGTTCGTACCTTGGGTGGCAGACATACCGTCTTTCGGGCCTCTCCCGTGACCCTTCCCAGGGTAGTGGCCAGCCAATTACCTGACTGGGTCTGAGCTTGCTCTGGCCCCTTCCGGGAGCAACTCTATACATATAAACATACTGGGCTCTCGGCCCTTTGGGTTTCCACCCCCCCCCTTCACTGGGGCTCCTCATCTTTGCCCCCTCACTGGGACTCCACACAGCCCCCTCACTAGCGCTACCCCCTCACTGGGGCTCTACATCGCCTACTTCCCCACTTTGCTGGGTTTCCAAATCTCTGCCCCCTCACTGGGGCCATCCCCACACTGGGGTCCTCATCTCTGCCCCCTTCATTCGGGGATCCACACTGCCCCCGCACTGGGGCTACTCATCTCTGCCCCCTTCACCTGGGTCTCCACACCACCCCCTTCATCTGGGGCCACAGGGCTTCCCTCCCCGGTGGGCTCAGGTGGCCGCAGCCGTGCCTGGCCCCGCTAGCTCCAGTGTCACCCAACCCACTCGAAGGTGGGAGCTGGGGTTAAGGTGCCCCGACTCACCTTTCACTGGGGTGGTAACTGGCCTGGCATTTCCTGGGGGGCTCCCGTACCACTGAGAGCCTCACCAGGCCACGTACTCCCAGCAGGGTGCAGTTTTAGGTCATGCCCAGGACCAGGAGCCTCCTAACCATCCCCTACAGCTCATCCCTTACCTCCAGGATGATACATGAAGCCTTGCAGCCAGGCGATGTTGCTGCCTGGGCTGCCAGCAGCAAGCTGCCTTGTTTATATGGGCGGCCAGAGCTCTAAAATGGCCACTGCAATTAAGCACTTGCTGGCTGCTTGGCCCCAGTCTTAAAGTGGCAGGCATGAATGGTGCCCTGCCACACACCTTCCCCCTTTAAATAGTACATGGGGGATGTTTCCCCTGCTGCTCCTCCAAGCAGGCTCCCCTCAGAGCCTGTGAGAACCCTAAAGTGGTGGAGCACCCCAAAGGTGCTTCGTCACACACCTCCCCCCTTAAAATGAGATCTGGGGGAGATTCACTTGGCTGCCTTCCCTGCTGGGCTCTGCCCCAGCCTACTGCAGCCCCTACCACGTGGCGAGCACCCAAAGGTGCTCTGCCACATGTATGTTCACCTTCTCATTACCGCTACTTGAAACTTATTTTTACTTTTAATTTTTAAATGTTAGTTGAAAGTCAGCACAAGGTCTTCAATAAATATATTATGAAACTACATACCGTATTTACCTGAATCCAAGACAACATTGAATTTTAGATGACCCCCCCCCCCCCACAATAGTTAGATTCTAGACATGGAAAAATTATGAATGTGTTATAATTTGTCCATTTCTAGAATCTAATTAGTAGAAGGTTGTTTTTTAATTTGTCCGCACCACTGCTGTGGCAGGGGGTGAGGGTCCAGACCTCAGCCCCTTGATTCCCTGGCCCCCACTCCCTGCTTCTCCCTCCCCTTACCTTCTGCTTGTAGCTTTGCTCTGCTGGGGTAGTCACTATCAGTGTGATCCTGGCTTGGTCTCATCCCAGCCCTGCCAGGGAGAAGTGGCAGCAACTCCCAGTTCAGCCAGATCAGGTCTAAAGGGACCAGAGCAGAGCAGAAAGTTAGGTGGGAAGGAAGGGGGTGGTGTGGCAGGTACAGGCATGGGGCCAGGGTGTGGTGGCTAGGCTGCATGTTCCCCTCCCTCCCCTGAAATCTTCTTACACTTACACTTCCCCTCCCCACCCCCAGGTCATGTGCTTCTCCCCTGTTAAATGAGCCATTCTAGCCTGGGGCAGGCAGCAGCCAAAGTTGAGCTGCCTCCTGCTCTGGGCTGGTACTCAAATCCAAGACAGGACTTCCCCCTCCCCCCCTGTGCTGATTGGGGGAAAAAGCTTCATCTTGGATTTGAGTAAATACAGTAGTAGCTTTTACTGCTAGAGTTGTAACTAAATTTGCATTAGAATGCTGACTTTGTTTAGATTTCAAACTTATCAAATTTGCCTCCAGTTTGATAGGTTACATCTATACTCAAGACAGATTTTCTTTCCC